ATAAGCAGTCACAGTGTCACTTAGCAACTTTCTTGGTAAGTGAAATGGCCCAGTTGTCAATCTCAGTTGTGTTCACTAAGTGAAAACTACTTGTATGTAAAAACTGGTTGGCCAGAAAGAGTTAGCATAGTAAAGTGTTGTGGCCCAGCAGGAGCCGATGGACTGCCAACAGACTCCGATAGCGAGGGACCCTATGAGTCGGCTCTGGAAGATGTGGAGGACCCTGAGCAGGGTTCAGACTCTGAGCAGGGACCAGAAAGGCTGGTTGGCCACCAGGAGGCGCCTGAGGCATGGAGCAGTGGTGAAGATCGAAGGGAGTCTGTCCCTGACGTCAGGCACTGGAGCAGTGGTGACGGTCGAAGAGAGTTTGTCCCTGATGCCATGCAGAGGAAGATGGAGAAGCGAAGGCAGCAATTATGGAGACAGACTCATAGGAGATAATCAGGCCCAGGTGTTTGTGATTTGGCTCTTCCCAAGAGAGTATATAAGAAGAGACTTTGGGAGGAGACCTTTTGCGGGACACAACCGTTATACTAAGCTGGACAAGCTCTTGTGTGTATCTCTTATCTGTGGGAGTCTGGGTTGCTGCCAACGTCTTGTCTGTGAGTTATTACTGTGAATAAAGCGTGGCTAACAGTAAGCTTCTGTCGGCATGACTTACCGGACGGAGGTGGGGGGTCAGAACAGTAAAGTATAAAAGAGAAATGAAACTTCTCTGAAACTACTTCCCTGCAGAGCATGTGTCTAATCCTTGTTACCATCTCATATTTCTTTTACATGCAGAACATAGAAAATTGCTTCCAGACTTACAGCAAATAGGAACAATGAGCACATTGGTCCTGTTATCTCAAATGCAAGATCAAGCTATTGTTTTTAAGACTTAACAGTTTTAAAATGGGAAAAATAAAGGATAATAGTTATCCAGGTATTTAATGAAAATCAATGGCAGCTGCCATTGTTTGCAAAGGTCAAAAAAACATGGAGCCCCATCTGAGCATTCTAAATCACAATCTATAGAAGTCTAATTCTACAGGCGCTGCTTCTTACTGTGGCTAATTTATCAACATTCACCCTTTTCACTTTATATAGGCTCACATAAAACACTTTGTTTTACAGAAAGCTATAAATGACCTGAAGCAGATGATATTTTCCCTGCTGATACGTGTAATATTTCAACTACTTTGCAGCCCTAATAAGATCACCTGTTATTGTGACAACTCCATTTACAGTACAGCAATCTATAGATTCAAAAAAGCATGAAGCCATAAAATGCCTGTAGTTTGTGAAGAATAAGAAATAGATTCTTGGAAAAGACTCTAATGGAAAATAATGTCAGGACTTTTAATCTAGAAGCTCCCATGCATGTCCCACATCCGTCCAATTGGGGGTATGTATAATACGATATAATAATGCAATGACATACTCAACATGATTTAAAGAACAAAAATTAAGGAGTGAAAAGTTTGGGTGTAGCTGTACATACACTGACCTATTCATACAGAGAAGCAAACACACACATACAGATATACGTATGCACACACATACATATTTGAAATAAGGATATAACTTTATTCTTTTCATACTGGGTATTTTTTTAAATCTAAATTTGATGTCTTGATATGTATTGACTTTTGACCTTGATTGCCTAATCAACAGAAAAGAAACTCTCTTTAAGACATTGCAGAAGGCAATAGACTTGATGTAGCAGAAGACAGAAATGAGTGGGTCAATGACTTTTCAAGATAACATGGCAAGAAGAAAATAGACAAGAACCCAAATGATATAGTGACAACAGCATGTCAAAAAGGAAAGGAAAGGTTGGAACTATTCCAAAGAAGGGGAAAAAAAGATCCCTCAATCCTACTGGCTTTATTGTTAACAAGTGCTTCTCTACAGTTAATGTCGTGGCAGGCTTGCCACCTTCTCATTTTCACACAAATGACGGTGGAAACTTAAATTGAAAGGGTTTGGTCTAATACATGACAGCTATTGCATTACATTTGAATTATCATTTCCTTCAATCAGCTACATTTGGCAACATTAGTTAGATTGGTGGTACACCAACAGGTTTTTCCTTAATGATGGAGAGAAAAAATAAATTTAAGTAATGACATTACAGATGGAAGGACAGTTACAAAGATATGAACAGTGTGTGCTTTCAAGGTGCCCTCTATTAGGCCGGTAATTTGTGCATCTCATGGTAGAAGAGGCTTTTCATTAGCTTTCAGATGCAGGTTGGAAAATGCTTTATGCTGGCAATTTTAAAAGTTCCTTACAGATGAAGAATATTAAAAAGAAAACTTGGGTGAACTAAAGATGTCACTTATTGATTGTCCAGTATCTAAAGTTCTATTTGAAGCAAACTTTAAATCAGAGCTGATTGTAATCAAAACATGTTGTTGTTAAGAACAACTGTAATTTCCTACAAATTACAACAAGTGACAGGATATACCAACCATGGCTGATCTTGAAAGAGCCAAGTAGAGGTTAGGCATGGTTTATCATTTAAATGAGAGAACACCAGGAAAGCCAGCAAATCTGAGCTACTTTGGGAAATAAAATAAAATCATAAAAAGATACAAGAGCAAATCACTTCTGTTTAGTTAGGAGCCATGGTGGTGCAGTGGTTGGAATGCAGTAATGGAGACTGACTCTGTCCACTGCCATAAGTTTGATCCTGACCAGCTTAAGGTTGGTAAAAGAGGACCCACATTGTTGGGGGTAATATACTGACTCTGTAAGCCACTCTGAGAGTGCTGTAAAGAACTGTGGAGAGGTATGTAAGTAAGTACTATTGCTATTTGTCAAAGAAAAGTAAACGGACTAGGAATCAAGCTCAACTTGAGTAAATCTTTATCTTTCAAAAAAAAAAAATTTTTTTTTTAATCCCATCTTTATTATTTTTATAAATAACTCAAGGCAGCAAACATATTTAATATTCCTTCCTCCTTCTATTTTCCCAAGAAATGCAACCCTGTGAAGTGAGTTGGGCTGAGAGAGAGTGAGTGGCCCAAAGTCACCCAAATGGCTTTTATGCATAAGGCAAAACTAAAATTCACAGTCTCTTGGTTTCTAGCATGGTGCCTTCCCACTAGACCAAACTTGCTCCATTTTACATAGACTAGACTAGACTAGACTAGACTAGACTAAACTAGAATAGAATAGAACAGGATAGAACAGAACAGAACAGAATTCTTTATTGGCCAAGTGTGATTGGACACACAAGGAATTTGTCTTTGGTGCATATGCTCTCAGTGTACATAAAAAAATACATTTCTTATCTTTTAAGAATTAAGCCCCCAAATAAAATATTTGAACTACATAACAAAGCCATGACACAGAGGCCTCAGTATTGTCAAAGGGTATCATCCCTTCTTATTTCTCTCACTTTCTCCTCTATTCATCACATACAGTTATCCTGTCTTTTAGACACCATTTTATTTGGAAATGTTAGCAGGCAGAAAGAAGAAGATGCTTTCAGTTCATCCCCTAGTAAAATAAAATCTGTTAAGCTTTGATTAAGAAAATAATGAAAGTTAAAATGCCCTATGTCCTTGTAGCTGTACCAGAGAAAGGGAGTATTCTCATTGCAATAAAATAGATCAATGTAATATTGACTAACATCTACCAACAAACAATTTCCCCCCCCTCAAGGTGGATAGACTCCAAGACCTCTCATTTGTTCCCATAATGAAACCTCCAGGTTTGATAATTTATTCTTGAGAACATCATCAAAGTTATATTTTAACTCATTAAGACTGTCAGCCTGTTCCATTACTTGCCTGCTAATTTAATATGTGCATGGCAAACAGAATGTAAGTGATTGTACCCAGTAGATACCTTTTTTTAATCTGGAGACTGTGAAATTTTATATAGAGGAAACCTTGTCACAGTTTTATTTGGTTGATGTGGCTTTTTCCCATGTAGAGTTGCAGACTGCTATGACAAATCTTATTTGTATTTCCAAGTCTGGAGAATGTTTTCCCATATCTGATCATTCCAATCCAATTTATTTATTAACTTACTTGATTGACATGGCCACCCATCTTATAAATTCAACTCTGGTATTCTAATACGTTAAAAACAATTTAAAAAGTATCAACGAACACATAAAAACCTACAATAATATCGGAGAACATATCCAATAAATACTCAACAGTAACAATAAGAGGCCATCTAACCTCCTGACCTTTGTGCTCTGGAGCACATCCATGTCTTCAGCATCTTCAGAAAAGGCCAGTAAGGTTAGATCAACCTGATCTTGGAAGGCATGTTATTCCAGAGGGAGGATGGGCTTGATTTGAATTACATAATGCAAATTAAATTTCCAACTTTTATGAAAGCTACCTAGGACTTTTGATAACTTGTGTTATAGGAATTTTTACATGATCGATAAGACAGTAAGGACTTACTTGATTACTTGATCAGGCACCGGCTTATTTTTGAATCGAAGTTGTTCCTCCAAAACTGGTTGCACAGTGAAGCATTGTATATCTAAAATCATAAGAGCTAAGGACATTATACCATTAGTGAACACAAACAGTCATCTGGAAACAAAAAAAGTCTTCACAATTGTTCAAGAAGAGTCTTTTATAAAATTAGTACATAATTATATTAGTAAAATTCATGATTTGGCTTAAAAAGTAAGTGTACAATGAATTGAACGTACATTAAATCCATGTTCCAAATAAATAGTACATTATCGATAGAGGAAAATATTTGTAGTTCAGGTTTGAAAAAAGGGCTCCTTGGCATTCTCTGAGCTTGGTTGTTATCTTGCAGATGTTTAATTATCCAAATTATGATTCATGATGATTGCATTTATCTTTTAAGTACACTGAGAGCTTATGTACTGAAGACAAATTCCTGTATGTCCAATCACACTTGGCCAATAAAGAATTCTATTCTGTTCTGTGCTCTTCTGTTCTGTGCTGTGCTGTAGCATCATCAGTGCTAGTAGAGTGCAGGGTTTGTTCTTATTTTACATTCTAGTCCTGCTTGTCCTGTCAGTGTTGGTGGGAGTCGTTGTTGTAGTTCTTTGGTTGGACTGTTCACCAACCAAGGTATGTAGTCCAATTCCTTAAGAGTAATTTGAAGTGGACACACAATCCACTACCATCAATCACTGACATTCACAGCAACTTACAGCAAGCCCATCAATAATATATCTAGCTGATCAACCGGAAAGTGCAAAACACTGCTTTTGAATAATGCCATTCCATTCAGATTTTGTTTCGTGTTTTGAGCATGGTATCTAGCAATGTCTAAAAGAACTTAGGAGCTATAAAGAGGAAGCTGCAGAACCAACCAAGCACTAATCCTTCGTTACATTTTTAAGGAGCTTTGAAATAACAGCATCTTTGCAAGATGTTATACATGTGAACCCTCCATGAACTAGGAAGCGTTCCTGTTAACAGAAATTTGTCCTATCCATATACCTACCCTCCAAAACTGCAGAGTAGCCAAAAAGAAAGGTGATTTGTGTGATTTCAAATCTATTACAATAAAGCTGGAAATACATAAGCTCAGCTCTTATTATGAGATCACAAGAGCTTAAAGTTGGCTTTTACCTGGGGCACAGTCCTCCCATGGTGGTATCTGAGTGATTAAACTTATGCTGCTGCTTTAAGGCATCTTATTCTTCAAAAGCACTATTGCAGATTTACAGAGAAGCAGACTGAAATTATATGGTGCAAAGACTTCAACTGACACTGTAGAGTTTGTATACTATATTTCTGTGAGATGGACGTGAACAGGAATATATTATTAGCAAGAGCTGTTTATGTTGTGATAGAGAAAAGAAATTTGCAGTTGTCTTATTCACCCTGAAGTGTTGAATATAACCTTAGAAGAGGGCAGTGTTTTCGGTGTAAAGGATTCATCTATAGATGTCCTGTTTATGTTTTGAAGCAATAACCCTTTATCATTCCTTCAGAAGCCTTCCTTTATGATGTGGGAGATGAAAAGCAGCTTTTCAGAGGAAGTACAAAAGTACATAAAGCAGGAATCACTGCCTGTGATGGTACTACTTGTCTTATTGAGCTCTCAATAGCTGCTTAGATGCGTCTAAATGAAGAAGACCTTGATTGAATTGCCCATCAGGTAAACATTCCCACCAATAACTCATAGATAACACTGCACTATTATTATTTATTCTGTACTCAAGACTGAAAACAGAATAAACCATGTTTTCAAGCAATGAGGATATACAACAAGAGCAGAACCATCTCTATCGTACCATTTTCACATCTCTTAGAAAGTTATGACATTTCTCCAGCATTGCTACCTGATCTATAATCATGTATAATTACTGTAGGGAAGTTATGAATAAATGCCTTCTGCCTTATTGAATTTCAATAAGAGAACTGACAAGCATTTAGCTCAGAGACTCAAAATTAATCCAACGCCACTTAGTATCTTCAGTAGACTTACACACTGCCAGTCTCTATCTAACTATCAACTGTATCTTCCCATGATTCATTTACGAGGAAACTGAGAAATGTGAGACCTAAATTAAGTAATGGAAACCCTAAGAAAACAGGTTTTCCTGTTAATTATCTTTTCTGGATTATCAATGATATATTGCAATGCAGAAATGCTCTGTTCTAAAGCCAAACTTTGGGCCAAAGTTTCCAGGGCTTAGCAACTTAATCTTGTAGACACTGCATTCTAAAAATTAATACAGGTAGTTCTCAACTTACGGCCACAATTGAACCAAATATTTATGTTACTAAGCAAGTTAAGTGAGTTTTGCCTCCTTTTACGATTTCTCTTGCCATAGTTGTTAAGTGAATCTCTGAAGTTGTTAACTTAGTAACATGATTGTTAAGGGAATCTCCCTTTGTTGCTGACTTTGCTTGTCAGAAGGTTGCACAAGGTGATCACATGACCCAAGGATACCGCAACTGTCATAAATATAAACCTGCTGCCAAACATCTGAAATTTGATCACATGACCACAGCTGCCGTAGTCATAAATGTGAAAAATAGGTCATTTTTTTCAATGCCGTAACTTTAAATGGTCACTGAATGAATGTAAGTTGAGGACTACCTGAATTGAGCTTGTCTGGTAAGCCAAAATACATGATGATGAATAATTTGATGATATGTTGCTGATGTGGATTTTCTTCCTGAAGCAGAATGTACATTCAGAGACAGAGTGTGTTTGTTAACATTTGCATTTAGACAATATTCTGTATCTGCATGTAAAAAGGAGAAAGGGAATTTACTGCTTCAAATTGCACACTATATGTTTTAATGTACATGCTAAAATGATATGTTGCTCTTTTCAGAGAAACAGAATAATATTTTTATTGATTTCTATTGTTTTAAACTTAAAATCATATTCAACATCTGGTGTTTCTAATAAAAAAACTGAGCAGTATAAATCAGACTTTGGTGGCAGTTTTTTCTGTATCTGCTGAACATTCAAGAGTATATTTAGGTGAACTTGAACATTATAACATAAAGGGAGAAAAAACATCAATTAGTCTTGTAGATAATACTTGAAGTATCACCCTTATATAGTGCTGTTTAAAAATAGACCAGAAAGATATTTGATACACAAAGGCTTATCTGTGAATTCAGGGATAAAAGCTGCCAGTATGATCAAACCGGACTCTGAGGAGTTGGCTATTTAATGATTTAAAGTTTAGTCAGAGGGTCTTGGTGATTTTAGGATTTAACTAGAGGCCTTTTACATATCTGGTGGTTATTGTAGGAGTAATGCATTTCTTTGAAGTTTTGATTTCTTGGGAAAATTGATTGAATATGTATTTCACTACTTATTATTACTTCTCTATCATGATACAGGATACAGATATCCACAACTTTCTTTAGGATATTATGAAAGCATTACATTTATAGTGTTGGCAAACTTAAATATTTTAATAGGTAAAGAACTGATGAAAAAAACCAGGTAGCATGTGTGCCATAGTGTCCACTTGAAAAGGAGAACTCTACAGGTAATCCTTGATTTACAACAGTTTGTTTAATGACTGGGGCTGAAAAAATGTGACTTATGACTGTTTTTCCCACGACCGTTGTAATGTTCCCATAGTCACATAATTAAAATTCAGATGCTTGGCAACTGGTCATATTTATGATGGTTGCAATATCCCATGGTCATATGATCACTTTTTGAGACCTCCCAACAAGCAAATTCAATGGGGAAGCCAGATTCACTTAACAACCTGGTTACTAATTTAACGACTGCGGTGATTCACTTAACCATTGTGACAAGAAAGGTTGTAAAATGGAGCAAAATTAACATATTTCTCACTTAACAACAGAAATTTGGGGCTCAATTGTGGTCAAAAGTCGGGGGGCTACCTATATCACTATAAAAAGCAAGAATGCTAATATAGCCTTTTTACTGGTATGTTCCAAAGTAAAACACACTTAGAAGATCTTAAAAACAAAGTAGAAGGTCCTATAGTTCATAGAGGTTAATTTCTGATTACTGAGCGTGTAACAAAGCCTTGTTTCTTGACACACTTGTGAAATAGAATTATGTGTTTGTTCCCATTCATTTTGCAAAACAGTTTACACATTTAAAAGGGAAACAAGTGAAATGGGTTAAATCACAGGGATTTTCCATATTTACATAAACTTTGAATAATGACTTTTGACTTCAAATTGCCTTTGCTTATTTAATAAAACCCGTTACTTCTAAGGATACGTTGAACAGCAGCATTCCTCAGTTTCTCATCAGGGGGTGCAGTAGTATTCATTTTTTCAGCATTTGGAAAATGGCTCATCAGTTGTGCTTGAAAGTCTTCTCTCCGTTCATATTCCTTGCCTCGATAAATGAACATTTTATTCTGTTTTTTTAAAAAAGGATAAATACTGGTTGTGAACTTGTTATGGAAAATAGATCATTGTTAAACATCGCAACATTTTTTATCCTATTCTTCTTAAAAGCTAGAAAAGTGGACTAACTATGAAATTCCATACATCAAAACCATAATAACCTACTAAATTGTCTGTTAGGTCCCTCCCTGAGGAGAAAAAGAGTGGAAGATGTTTTATAAAATAACAACAAAACCAAAATGTGCTAAAATTGCCATTAGTCCCTCTATACATTTTCTTGACTCTGGTAGATTGCTAGAAGGCATCTCTATAGGGAAATTGATTCTAGAATTCTTTGCTTCTTATTGTGCCTTCAAACGTATATTGGAGATAAAGAAAGGAAAATCACAGTATTAAGATTATTTGTACCAGATTGTAAAATTACCTACAATAAGAATACTTCCGAGAATTGTCAAGGTATAAATGTGAGAGCCTTTCATATGGAATTTCACCTGTGAGCTGCCAATTAGAATGAATATACATCAGATATAAAATTCATTAGATTTCCTGCTTCATTGTCTTGGCTATTCGTATTGTTGGTTTTATTGTTCATTAAATTCTCTTCAACTATAAACCATCCTTTAATTATGACTGTCTTGTAAGAATCCTAAACGCTCCTTCATCACTCCATTACCCTCACTATAAACCTTCTTCTAACCTTGAAAGCAACAGGGGAAAAAATCCACAATAAATAAAATTCCTTTCTGAAAAAGTGACACTCAATATTGTTATGAATGGCATTTTAGGTAACTGCAAGACAGAAACTCTTTCTGGCAGAACCTCATGAAGAAAAATGCCCCCATTTGTGAATAACTCTATTTCCACAAATAGAATATTGGTATTCTATAAGGGTGCTAAAATTTGAAATTTGCTAAAGACAGAAGTACACAGAGTACGTAATTTACCCTTAGGAATGTGGGGAACCCTTGGCCATAATATCCAACAGCAAAATAATCTGGTTTAGGCCTCAGAATTTTCATGATGTTTTCATAAAATTTGGCTTGCTGAATCTGAAAGGAAAAAGAGATATGATAGGTCTTCCTGGGATCATATTACAACCAATTCCTCAGACACTAGGGTTATTTTTCCATGGGATCCAATATGGGTCAGGAACTGAGACCAGAGGTTTAATTTTCCAAGATGTATGACTCATGCTGGAACCCATCCACAGGAAATTTCTCTCTCTCCAAAATGTATGTGAGAGAGAAATTCCTTGAGGATGGACTCCAGCATGAGTCCGAAAGCTTGGAAGATTGAATCTCTGGTCCCACTGACCCTCCCAGATTGGATCCTGGAAGATTATCCTTGGACATGTTTGCTTTCATTCATTACCTTCCCATAATTAAAACGTGCAATTCTGATTTTTCCCATTTTCATAAGCATTTGTAAATTAATTACTGCAGCAACATTTCAGTTTAACAGATAATTGTGGGTCATCTCAAATATCAATTAAATCTTAAATTATATCATTTGCAATGATTTAGTGTCATTGGACTAGAACTACAAATGAGATGATAAGGTACTACAGTCAGGTTACAATAACTAAAGTGGAAAGTACATTTATTGTGTAGACAATTCAAGACCTACTCGGCAGAGTTTATGGTTTGAATTTTATATGAAGTGATGATGCTTTAGCCAATTTTAAATTGCAATATTAAATTCTATAGCTTGATGTAAAGCTAAACATAGGAAATGATTGTTTAAACTGCCCATCTAGGACATAGAGGCAATGTTGTATTTTGTAAACAGCAATGAATTTAAAACCCAGTATAATGTGCAAAGTCTAAAGTCTACTTTATGTCTACAAAACGAATAGCAACTTTAATTTAAAATGAAATGCATTGATTTTTATTTCATGAGATGAAATCATTTTTATTTACATTTATGTTTCAGAACGATAAAGGAGTTTATAGAATTAACATTCCTTGTTCTTCTGAAAAGCATAGCACTAAGTTCAACTCATTATGAAACAATTCCCAATTCAATTCAATGGTGCTAGTTTTGGACATTTTATTGTGTTTAGAAAATCAACTCCCTTAGTAATTCCGGGTAACTTACAGAATTCTGTAAAAAAAAATACAAAAACAATAATAAAATTAATCTTGGAAAATAAGTATGCTTTGAGCTTCTCACCTCCAAAGATATAATCCTATTTATGATATAAGAATATGAGATGAGAGTGGTAATGCTGTAAGTATCTTGGGCCCATGGTTTCAAAGGCTTCATACATCATTGTGAATATCTTGAATTGGGTTGGAAAGCAATTACAGCTGGGCCAGCTGCAATTTTTGGACTGTCTTCTAGGTTATTCCATGAACGATTGCAGTAATCTAGCTTTTAAATTACTCGAGCATAAGTCTCAAACAGCAAGTAGGCATGCACCTCAGTTATCAGCTGACACTGATTATAAGTGATTTCACTGATGCTATGAGGCTATCTACAATAGATGATATCCAGACTGCAAGTTTCTTCCTTAAAGAGGAGTAAATGCTCATTCCAGACTATTGTCTGACATTTGGCCCCTGGAATCAGTAAGTTTATCTTGCCTGAATGTAGTTTCAGTTTATTTCCCTACAGTCCTTTACAGTGTGGGAAATCAGATCTTCCGGAGACATTAATCCTGTCAACTGTATATTGAGTTCTTAGCTATATCAGAGCTATAATGTACAACGTCATAACTTACAGAACATACTTCATTTTTTTTGTCAAGGCAAGGAAGGCAAATATCTATTTTATTGGTCTGGATTTGATTATCTTCAGTGTTTTAAAATTATTGATTCGTTTGTCTGAAGTAAAAATAAACTGGATAGATATGTGCTGTGAGCTAGCATTGACTTCTCGTGATTGACTGGAACCGTCCCTGCAGTTTTCTTGGCAAAATTTCAGAAGAAATTTGCCATTTCCTCCTTCCTAAACCTGAGAGACATGACAGACGCAAGGTGATCCAGCTGGTTTTATGTCAAAGACACTAGAATTCACAGGTTCCTGGTTTCTAGCCTTAACAAAAACTTGTTTTGATCAGACTGTATCTACTTATAAAAAAAATCTAGACCTGAATTGCAGAAAGATTTGTGAAATAAATTTGAAACTAGAGACAACTGAAAATTCATAACATTTTTGTAGAATTCCATTCTTACCAAGTTTTGGCTTAGAAGTTCATAATCAAAAACTTCCATTTCATATTGTTCTGCTAGTTCTTTGCACAAGCCTATTGCTTCTTCCCACATCTGCAATGTAACAGGAAATTTAGATATATAATTGCATAGCTTTAGAGAAACTTATTGAATTTTTTATTTATCAAATTAAATGTTTGCCCATATCTCTCTTGGAGCAATCTTTATTCATTGTGTTATATGCTTTGAAATATTACATTAGAACTCCGGGAGAATAATATTTGTGTAACATCTACATTGAGTGAATACATTTAAAGCCTTGTGATTTATTTTGGCAACAATATTAGGTTCCTGAAAGAACAATTGAAAAACCCCAATTTATTTCATCCACACCTCTTTGAGGTGATATGCTCAGGCAAACTTTGAGAAAAGACTACGCAAAGCATGTTGCTGAGAAGACAGCATTTCTCCTTAAAGCATGAAAACAATGGTGCTTTTTACAAGACCTGCACTTAAATTCTGTCCAGATGCTTTGCTTATACCAGTTTGCATTGTGAAGTGCTTCTTCTGCATATTTTGCACATCCCTACTTTGTGATATTTACACAGTTTTGCAGATGTCTACATAGTTTACAGTAGATCAACCTGTTACAGTCAATTTTAATACAAAAGACATTTTACCCACACGTCTAATATTTTATATGAATATATTGAAATATGACTGTCCCCGATACTTGCATTCTCAATACTGAATAAGGTTCAATGAATTATCTCCTAATTTACATTAACTTTATACAGGTAGTCCTTGACTTACGACCACAATTGAGCCCAAAATTTCTGTTGCTAAGTGAGACAT